TCCTGCTGTCAGCAGGTTCCAGCTGATAGATGATGTTTTTGCATTGACACAGTAAGTAAGTTTCAACTATGTCATAGAAAATGATTGAACTACATGATTGCATTCAACATTGCTACTTCTGCTTTGTTCATTCCTACCCATATGTGCCTCATAAGAGCAACAGCTGTTTTGACAAAAGGGTGGGGCAGTTAAGTATTTAATCCGTTCTTCTGTCAGCGCTGAGTGATTTCTTTCTAAATTTCTTTTAACTTTTGTTCCAGCTCTTAGGAAATGTTTTAAATAATGTCACTGTCATGAGTTTTTTAGGGACTAACCTATATTTGTTGTAACAAAAGAAAGATTCTGAATGAACATTCTCCTTAATTTATTCTGGGCTATCTTAGCTATGCTGTCCTGCATCACTCTTAATACCTCTTTCATTTCCCTTGCTGATGGATGACTCGGTTGTTCATGTCTGTGGTGCTAGAGAGGTCAGTAGTACTGTAGGGAGCTGAAGAAGCATCAAATATGTCTGGGGCCTCAAACGTACCAGAGACATGAAAAGCATCAGACACCTATGATGTGGGAGCTCAGGGAGCAGGTGGCCAAAGCACGCTGCCCCTCCTGCCTCCCTGAGCCTGTGGAGGTAGCTCTGAGAGGAGGAGGTAAAAATTCCCATTCCTCCTCTCATACAAATGTCCCTTCTCATCAGAGAGCTCAAACCTAGTATGTAGTAAGAAATGTAACTGTGAAGTATACAACTGTGCTCCTATGTAAGTACATTAGAAATATTTCTCTTCTGGAGGAGAGGGGCTTGAACTGGACTTTTATTGGGAAAGAATGAATTCCTTGCTAATTCCACACTGAGGCACAGAAAAGCCATGGTGAAGTTGTTAATTCCAAGAATAGTGTACATGTGAATTAAATTGTTCCATTTTTACAATAATGTAGATTCCACAAGAGAACCTGTAATGAGAATATGTTGTTTAGCAATAAAAATACAAATGTATTATAACTCAAAACAGTGCTCTTTTCTTTCATTTTGTTCTAGTGAGACTGACACATGCTATAAATGTGCCTATACTGTATCTTACAGACACAAGAAGAATACAGTCTGCTTACTGCCATGATTGTCCTATTGCTTTGATCATGGTGCTGTGCTCTGTCATAAATGTTTCGAGAGTTCAGCTCTTAGAGGCACCATTGGTTTATATTTATTTTATTTTTCCAACATCTTTTCTAGGTCACTCTCCATGCAGTATCCTGATGCTTTATTGTCAGTTTCATAAAGAAACAGAAATTCGTGGCAGGTAATTAACATGAATAGATATGCTCAGTATGAGGTTTTTTATCTTCAAATAGGTTTGGATACATTCAGATTGAAACAGCACTTGAACTAACAAAGTACCTTGCCAGAGAAGATGAACTCTTCATATGGAATGTGGTATTGTTAAACCTAGTACCTGAGAATTTGGAAGGTACTCTGAAGAATTATGAAGTATATCCACTTTTAAAGGTATCACCTTTTTTGTGAGTTAGCAAAGATACTAGACCATTTAAATAAATCAGACTAAAATGAATGTAATGATGACTATGATGGGTCATAGTTCTTGTCATTCCCTTTGCATGATTTTATCAACTTCTTTTTTTAAATAGGAGGAGGTACTTATTTGCATATATTAGTCAGTGATAAATATCATTGAATCATGAGCAATTCTTATTGTAAAGCAGAAATCCATTCACATTCTTTATATTAAGCTTGATCCTAGGTTTTTGTAAGACTGAGGATCCAGAAAATACAGCTATCGGTCAGCAGTAAATAGTCAGTAGTAAGTAATGAGTAACACTGCTATGTAGAAAGGGGGTGTAGAATGTATGTGCTCTGTGGTTTGTACTGCCTTCCAGTTTGTCTTCATGGAAAGAAAGAAGGAATTGGGTCTGGATGCTAAATGAGAAGATTCTCTCCCGTATTTGAGCTACCTGAGATAATATTGTCTTATTTATTTCCTTGACTTCTATTTGATTTCACTTTTGTTTAAAGTGCAATCCCACAATAGTAGTTCTCTTAAGTTCTAAAACTAAAGGTATGTTTAAAATATGTGAGAAGAACTTATTTTTCTGTCTTTTTCTCTGAAAATGAACATTTGTTTTCTTTTATAATGAGTTCAAAGGTCTTAGTGATGTGAAAGGGTAACTTCCCAGTTTGAATGGATGTACAGGTGTATTGAATTTTAGATCCAATTTGTATACATTATTTTAATGTGCTGTGTTGTCAAGAAATTAATAGTGGTAAATTCTTAGGGTAAATCTGAGTAAGTAAAGAAAAATACATTAAAATAAAAACTTGCATCTAAATTAAAGTAATTTTTCTTTCCCTTCTTTTAAAAGAAATACCTTTTAAAGAGAATGTTGCCAATATACCATTATTATGCAGGTTTTATTCGTCAAAATGTTGATGCTTTGGAAGATGACTATTTTGCTCAGTAAGTATTCTGCTTTAATTGGAATGTAACTAACTGAATTGTTATTCTTACTGCCCTATAATTGTTTCTTATTTATGATGACACCTCCAATGAAACTGCAGCAACAGGACAGTTTGGGATATTTTCAGTCTATTTAGTGAGCATAAAAGATGATAGTTTAATGATCTGAGTGGTAGCTTTTGTTTATGGGAGGACAGGCTCAACAGGCTGCTGCTAGTTGTGGAAAAACTGAGAGCAATGAACTTCAGATGTGATTTATGCATTAATCACTAGAACTTTAAAATAGTTCATTTTGCAAGGCTACTGAAGCCACAGTCTTGCATGTCAGAATGATTTGGACTAGATGCAGCTAGTCTCTTGAAACTACCAAGAGCGATATAAAACAAACGAAAAACTAGGAAAAATTATAGTACATTGGCAGCCTCACTGATGTCCATGAATATTGATGCCAGGAACGCATTATTGGTAGTTCAATTTTTAAATTTTTATTAAACCTCAACTGTTTCCAGTAGAGGTTCTTCTGTGTTAACAGCATCATGTGCTGAAACTGTGCTGGTCAAGCACAGTTCAAGTACTCCAAATGTGGAATACGTATCTTTTATTCTTGCTATTTTGGCTTACCTTCAAGAGTGTATCTGGAAAAACTTTTTGCAACAGCGTGCTGGATGGGCCTCCAAGACTGTTTGAAGCTGTCATCTGAACTGTATGCTAAGTGGATGGACAACCCTGAGTACAAGTAAGAATGATAATGTTCTCTTAGAGGTGTGCATGCGTAAGTGAGGTGGAAAGTTAAAGGGCTTTTACATGGGGGAGGCAGAATGAGAAATGCTCCTGTACACTGCTCTTCTTTCTCAACAGAATGACAGAATTTAAGCCTAACTGTGCCTCCCCCACACCCTCCTCTTCCCCAAATCCCAACTTTATGATGATTTCATAATTATTGCTTTTTACATAGACTTTACAGGCTGGAGGATGCAGATTTTTGCCATGAAGACCAAAATCTGTTTAGCCACAGAACAGCTGAACCTCAGATTAGGGCTAATATCCAATATTGTCCAGTCCCTTTGCTGCAGTACAGCCTCAGGGTTATCATGTATACCAACTCAGTTTCTAAGCTTCTCTTAGCAATATTGAGTGAAACAGTGTTTGTACAATACAGGCATCTGCCCATGGTGAGCCCGTGAAATCACTTTGCGTGTTCTGTATTCCCGTAAAGAGGTGCTGGGAACAGCTGTCAGTTCTTATGCTGATAGTGGAACCTAGTGGTCAGGTTTCTGGTCTGTGAGGATGGAATCTAGGCCCTACCAGGATCAGATTTTCTGTATTCAAGTATTGCATTGTTAAAGAAAATTTACAATGTATTGAAATTATTATTCTCTTTTCCTCCCTCTTTCTTTCGATGTTTTTCTATGCAATAGTCAAATAGTATTGGCACTGGTGAGTGAATATTTAAAGTTTATTATTATTTTTATTTGTTGTAGTTGTAGTAAATATTTTGTTGCTACTTTTATCTCTGTTGATACATGTAGTTGGCTAAGTAAACTGAACTTGTATTTTTATGTTTGTGGGTTTTTTTAAACAGCTTCGTAGTGATCATCTTCATAAAAACCAAATTGTGCTTTGCAATTAAAATTAAAAGTTTAAATAGCCTAAATACATTCTGTTATGTTCCAGAGAGAATATTCTTACCATCTCACTAAAAGCAATAAAGCTATGCTGAATTCTCAGGCTATTTTCAAAATAGTCACCTATCGTCCCCTATTAATAATATTTGATTTTTTTTTTTTTCCTGGTGAAATACTACATACCTTATTTGAGTTGAAGAGCTGAAAAGTCTGTGGAATTTATTTGCTGATCTGGTTTTGAATTAGATGGAGAAGATTAATTTTGCTGTCCTTTCTGGCACTGAGATAAGTTCAAAGGGACTTTACAGCTTCACACTTCACATGGCTGTAAGTGTGGAAAAAATGCGACTACTAATTTTATTAAATGAAAAAAATGATCATGTTTTAAGGAAAAAAAAACATAGGAGGTAGGACACTTCTTAGGTTTCAAATGAACAGTTCCTATTCAGTTAAAAAGGAGGCTTTTCATATGGTGGACAGAAAAGAAAAAGGACACAATAAACTTTTGACTCATATTTCACAGACAGATCCCTTTAGATGCTCTTACGTTCTCCATTCTGAGAGCAAAATTCATGACAGCGCACTACAGCTGTTCTGCCACAGGTGGAACCCAGTAGGATTCTCACATCTGTGGAAGGGAGTAATGCTTTTCCCTTTCAGATAAGGTGTTCAACTTTCAGCTGAATATTTCCAAACAGTTCCTGGCAGAACTTAACTGGACTTGGTACGGTGCATTTTCATCTGTTCCAGGAGATAACAAGCCATGAGCCGTGATTCCCAGCCAGTTTCTCAGTTTTACTCTTTTTTTCTTATAGGAGTGAAGTGGAGCTAGCTAAATTAACATATTCTCTGTGGTGCTGTTACTGGCTTGTCTTCTTTTGAAAGAAGGAAATGAGTCTAGAGGGAGGGACAATATTGCCGTACATTTTAGTTATTTACTAAAGGTAACCATATACTGCTGTTGCCCTCAAAAGTTAAGAAATCACTATGTCACTTCTGCATTGGCTCCAGGAAAACGAGATTAAATAATCCACAGCAGCCTTTTGCATCTTCTCCAAGATCCAGAAACAGGAGAATCCTGGCAGGCCAGTAATATCAAACCACATAACCACTCCCAGAAATAATATCAGGATGAATAAGTCCCACCCCTCATGTAATATAACCTCAAGCTCCAAAGTCCCTCTGGACCACAGTGGACTTCCTCTGTGAACTGTACAACATAAGCCACTTCAGGGACACCATCGATGTCACCAGCCAGTGGACCATTGTCCTATAGTAAGCTGCCCGTACAGCCTGCCTTGAATGCTGAACATCAGAGCTGCAGCCAAATGATACACAGAGCTTGTCTGTTTGCTCTTCACCCACAACAACTTTACACTCAATAACCAACATTTTCTTGAAACTATTGGAACAGCTGCAGTAGCAAAATAAACAGCTGTATTTTAGCCAAAGCAGCTTTACCATGTTATCACCCTACCGTGGCCTCTTTCTGCAACATTGTGAAATGACCATTAAACAAATTACTAGACCCTATAGCTCAAATAAGATCTATCATAAAAGGATTCCTCACAGGACTATTCTTTACGTTGACATAACCACTCAATCTCAGTAAGCATCATTCTCAGTGGCAAATCCCTTACATTCCAGCACATATCCAGGTAAAAATTATTCCAAACTATTTTTTGCAGTAAATATAAAACATGCCCACACTTCCTGTTATTATGCCAGTGAAATCCCCCACCCACAACGGGACTATCAAAATCCCTGCATCTTGTATTTTCACTTCTTAACAAGTGATATCTGTCATGCAAAACACCTGACTCTGTCCCTCATTTCCACTGTCCGTCTGAGTTTCCAGAGTTTATAACTTACTTGTCTCTACCTTTTGCTTTGCACATTGCTGTCATACAGCCTTCCTTCTGACTAATATTGTAGTCCTACTGACTAATATCAGTATGATCTACCGAAACTTTCTACTGAAACTCATAGGAATTTTTCTCAAATGATATTTAAATTTGAATTTGCTTCTTCCAGTTTTGGGCCTGAAGAATGGCTTTTGTGACCTGAAATATGTCTGTTTTTCCAAGTCTATCTTCTGATCTAATGGAAGATAGTTTTTACACCTCTACTTACAATCTTGGTCTTACGTAACACTAAGCAGATTAAGGGTATGCCATTGGAAGGTTAAACATTTCATTTGTAACAATGGTACCCATTCTCCTACAGAGAATAATTCCAAAATACCATTAATTGAAACTGTTTTCAGATAGCCTGCATAGTAGTATACAATGCTATCACTGGAAAGTGTTGACAATGTCTTAGTGTCAGGGACACATTATTGCTGCAGGAGAAATTTTCTGTTCAGCCTTTGCACATAGGGTATTACACTGATAATGTTTGCATTTAGTTTCTTTTAAGAAATTAATCACTATGTTGAGGACTCTCCCCTGGGGTGGGACTAATAGGAGGCTGCCTGTTGCATGGAGAAATGTCCCTTCTGTTTCCATTTGTGCTGCACGTGGCTCTTCCTACTGGCTGCATTCACTGAAGAAACTTTGAAAAGGCTTGTCTGGGATGATGCTTATATGCAGCCGTACAGTCTTTAATGGTGTGATCCTAGGCTGTGATGTGAAAGAGTGGCATTGACACTGTATGTACACAAAATAGCTTGGTCCAACTGTTCTAAAAAAGATTTTTGGTTTGCCTTCAAACTGCATGCTTTTAAAATGTTTAAATCATGAATAAAGCAATCAAATTTCCTAGCTTTATTTAGATTGCTATTTTATATTTCCTGTCTCGTGCATTTTTAAACTGTAAATAAACATTTGATTTCAGTTAACTGCTGGTTTTGACTTTGCAACAATACAGTACCTTTTAATCATATTTTGCTTTGCAGAATTCCCTTTTTAATTAGAAGAACAGTCTGCTGCTATGGTATTGCAGTGGGAAGTGATAAAGAATGGAATTTCGCATGGGAGATGTATAACCATACCAACTCCACAAAGGAAGATAAAGACATCCTGCTCTCTGCCATGAGCTGTGCCAAAGAGTCATGGTTACTTTACAGGTGACCTTGATCAAAGTATATCTTTGTGTATATGGAAGTAAATCATAAGAACACAAATACTGTACTGTGCAAACCTGATGAAGGTTTGCCTGCCCCGGAAGCACGTGTCTTATAGACCCTGGGAAAATCTTATGAGTTTTCTTAAAGTATGATAAACAGGGCAAACACAAATGATCCTTCTGCTGGTATAACATCCCAGATGCTGGTAATCACTGAGAAAAGGATTCCCGAGCTTGGTAACTAGTGTGTCATGTGTAACACTGGGCCTGTCTTCTGTCAATGTATCTAGTGACCTTTTTGAACTGAAATTATACCTTCAGGCTTTATAGCAGACTATGACAACACATCCCATAATATAACTGCATGTTGTCTGAAAACATGCTTCCTTTTGGTTTGTTTTAAACCTATTTTGTGTTGGTTTTTTACTTGGAACCCATTGGCTGCCCTTACTCTTTGCACCATAAGAAACAGTAATTATCATAATTTGCTTTGACATTTTTCCCTGCCATTTATGATTTTGTATAATTTTCCCATACTCCTTCTCCCCTGCTTGTTTTGTTTCCAAACTAAAGTGTCATAGTCTATTTAGCCTCTGTGTGGAAGCCAAATCACCCAGGTTAAGGGCAGAAATGAAAATAGACTTACTAGCAAGCTCTTCACCATTTGAAGTGCAGACTGATGCTGAAAAGTAATTTTGTTAAATTTCCAGCTTCATAGAATCATAGAATATCCTGAGTTGGAAGGCATCCACAAAGATTGTTGAGTCTAACTCCATGTGGGGCAACCTAAAAGTAAAGCCATATATCTAAGAGTGTTGTCCAAATGCTTCCTGGACACATTTTGGAATACTGTATTTATTATCTTTCACTGGCATCCATATAAAATCTTTTGGACGCATTTTGGAATACTGTATTTATTATCTTTCACTGGCATCCATATAAAATCTTGTCACTTTATGAGTAAAAATATATTGAAGCTGAAGTCTGCAATCTGTCATGTCCACATTACCTAAAGGATTCATCGAAGGACAGAAATTTGCCAGCGATGGCCTAAAGAATGATCATTCAAGAACTGGCATAAACTAAATGGGTCTAAATCTCTTAAAGCAGCAGAGATATTTCTCCTGCCAGCCACCTGCTCTTGTGATGGCAGTCATTTGAGAAGACAGAACAAACATGCCTGAGGAGAAGGCAAGATGGGTTGTGAAGAGATGTCCAATCAGCTATGCTGATTTTCCACCTAACCTATGGTCTTTTATTGACTTTGTCATTGGCACAGGCTAGCACTGGTCCCTGACAAGCTCAGGGAGTTGTGATGACCTCCTTCCTCCCTGTGCCTTAGTAGTTGATAAGCCAATCTATTTTTCTAAATGCCACCCTGAAAGTCTTTTGGGGTGAGTAACATTAAGCTGGGCTTTTCCTGGCTCTCAGTGTATTTTGTCCGTTCTGTTAAGCATGGTGGTGGCTTGCAGATGGGAGAAACCCAGCTCATCTGCTCTAGCCATAAAGCAGCTGTCTGCAGGACCCTATGAGAAGATAACTCTTTAACAGTGCTCCTTGAAAGTAGGAGCATTGAGGTAACAAAGAGAATAGTTATTTACTTTTTCAAGATATTCAGGCACTCGCTGCCACTGACATCACTGGCACGTAGTTCCTTAAATACTTCTGAATTCATGCCTTAGCCCGAATGAATCCATCCAAGACCCCTTGTTATTGGGTCTTGTTATAGGGGACCCTGTAAACGGGTTGCATTTGCATAACAGAGTGTCTCGCCGCTGGCTCACTCTAGGCTCCATCTGTGTCACAGCAAAGTGAGTCTCCAGAAACCGAGAAGCAGTTTGCCCTTCCACAGGGCTGTCTGGTAGGAGTGGTTGTCTTTCTGTAACACAGGTAAGAAAAGCACATATATCCACTTGATGTGCTACACCCTCATTTTACTGAGAAGGGGAAAGTCAGTGTGCAAGAATGGGATTTCACCAACATATGGACAAAACCCAAGCTGAATACACAGCTCAGAGTGACACCAACTTTTGTATAACCTTCCACATTGTGGTATTTGTTGAGACAGGAATTTTCCTGAACTGGATGACATTTCCAGATCATCACTGTTAAACAGCAAGTGATAGGTACAATTATTACCTTCTTTTCCAACAGATACTTGCAATATGGACTCAGTGATACATTATTTTCTTCCAATTGTACTTCAATCATCATCTTATATGTCGTGACTAAGGATATTGGGCACCGTATAGCCTGGGAATTTGTTACGGAAAATTGGCCACTTTTGAGTGCAAGGTATGGTAAGCAACCAGCTTTGGGTTCCCTTTATTTCTCTTTGGCTCTTTGGCTTCTTTCTCCATCTTTATGTTTGAGCTGTAAAATCCAGGTGCAGGTTTTCCTTCCAGAGATGGCTTTTTTGTAATGATTGATGCAATTCCTTAACTATGCAGAGCAGGGTTTTCAGAGGATTCAACTCGGATCAGGGCTTAATATCAAAGAAGACCTCATGTCAGACACAGAACACTTTAAAAACTAATCTGCTCATGACTGTTTCGATGCTTTTAAGTGTTAAAGTTCCTGGAAAATATGACTCTAGAAATGGGTTTATTCACTAGCATTTCACAAGCGTGAGTGTAAAATGCTGGAATAAGAGTGTGACCTCTTTTCCAAAGAGAGTATGGAGAGATGGGGCATTGGAGCACACAGGTTTACAAGTGCTGCAAGGACCAACTACAGTATTATTCCCTGACTTAAGTCCTAACCCATCTCTAGCCTACCTGCACTGATGCAGGTAAACTGCAGGTGAGCTTGGGCTACCTGTCTTAAGCAAAGCAAGTATTTTGATGACTGTTCAAAGAATTCCGCTCTCCTTGGCAATGGTGAAAAGCAGCAGGGCTGTGACAGAGTACATTCCTGC